AGAGAGAGAGAGAGAGAGAGAGAGAGAGAGAGAGAGAGAGAGAGAGAGAGAAGGGGAGGGGTGGGAGGGAGGAAGAGAGGAAGGGGGAGGAGAATAAAAGTTTCTCTGTGTTTACATAGACCTAAAGTTGCGTGAAACAAGAATTTAATTTTATAATTCGGGACCAAAGTGCGCGTGCGCGCTTGTTCCGGCGTGTGTGCAGCCACCACGGTGGCTAATGGATATATTCCTATGAATATTTTGGCTTTAGCAGAAAATTTGTTTTCATAGATAGTTGACTTGATAATCAACAAAAGAACAGCAGAAGGGTTAGCCTGCTCTCCTTCCCAACAAAATGATAGACTAGCCAGAGCCTAGCCTTGGCCTAGCCGCGGCGTATTATCATGGTCTCAGGCCTCGGCTTGCTCAACGATGTGATGAGATGTGAACATGATGGGAATCCCCGAGAGAAGGATTCCTTTGGTGTTGACTGTTGATTGTAAACCTTAAAACTATTGGTCTATTTTGCACTTCCGTGGAATATTTTGTAACAGGGAATGTCATTGGCTCTTTACTGTATATAACCCTTTGACACGCGCTCTGTCGCTGTCTCGTTCTCTGCTACCGGTTGTAATTCAGGACCGCCCGACGTACACAAGGTAGAGGCAGGATTGTGTTGTGTAACTGTACTTTCAGCTGGTCAAAAGTATTTCTCTATGCTTATTTGATTTTAGAAGTTTCCTTTATCATCTTTATTGGCACAGCCTCCGATTAGATAGGCTTTTACCTTGACTTGATCTTTAGATCTAGAATCTAGCCAAGCTTAACTTAAGATTAAGATTAAGAGTTAGAGGCCTCTAGCCTGGGTTTGTTGAGAGTGGGAAATGCGCGCCAAAGACGAGTAAAAAGAAGAAAACAAGGACAAAAAAACCCAACAAATCATATGTCTGCAGCTGTTCCGAGTCACATGAGGCGTTCACCACAAGGCTAATTGTACTAAATAAACCTAGATTCTAGAATTTAATAGTTTTTACCAAGACAAACTTTAATTTATCATTTAGAATCTAATCTAGATATATTAGATCTAGATCTAGATTTAGATATCTAGATCTAGATATCTAGATCTAATCTAGTCTAGATTCTATACATCTAGATCTAGATCTAGATCTAGACTAGATAGATCTAGAAATCTAGATCTAGACTAGATCTAGTATAGAGATCTAGATCTAGATCTAGACTAGATCTAGATCTAAAATCTAGATTTTAGATTAGCCTGAGAGTGAGAGTCTAGCCGCCGTAGACAGTCTAGCCGTAGATCTAGAATCTATTCTAGATCTAAATCTAGATCTAGGGAAACTATAGGCTATACTAAGGCCGGTGATCTTATACTTTAGCACTTCAAATTCTTCAATTGAGGACTTCCGAAACGAGCGACCACTATTAGATCTGTATCTAGATATATCTAGATCTAGATCTAGATCTAAATAGAATCTAGATTTATATATCATCAAGATTATACTCAGTGGCTTCCAAAATCATGATGGAAGACCGAAAACCACTGTTATACGATCTGTTCATATGACAAATTCTAGATCTATGGGAAAAATTTGTTGGTCAGTCGAGAAGAGGACCAAAAAAAAAAGAACAAAAAAACTTTCAGAACCAGGATTCGTACCCACGCTCATAAAATAATGGTTTGGCCTCAAACGCAGACGCGCTGTTCCTTCGGCTATCGCATCCAACAACAAAAGGTAGATTAGCTTCATATAACACAGACAGCGTTTTATTTAGAACTGGCGCTAATCGCAACGTGGCGTTTCATTTAGCATTGGCGCTAATGGCAACGCAGCGTTGCAAAAATAGGCACTTCCTTTTAAAAAATCAACTCAAACTCACCCTCAAGTTCAAGGGTCTGTGAGTCTGTGGTGGAAGCAATGTTGTCCATTGCATCATACTACTTTTGTAACTTGATAGTGCTGCTGAGCAGATAGATAATCTAATAATAATAGATAATAGATAGCATTTGTATAGCGCATATCCCTGCTCAACAGCAGGCTCTATGCGCTTTACACTATATTATTACCCCAGCAGACCATAGTACACTCCGAAACATTCTCAGCTTCCCGGGAAGCATCTAGATTTAGATCTAGATCTAGAATCTAGATCTAGAATCTAGATACTCCATTATTTTGAAGAACGAATCCCTTTGAAGAAAAGTTTTCCCTGCTTTTTTTTTTTTACACAGTGATCAAGTCTCTTTATCATCATGTTTGAACGATAGAAATCTAGATGTACGATCTAGATCTAGGTCTGTAAGTTTTTCTACCAGTTCAAATTTTTAGAGTGGAAAAATCTCAAGAGTGGTGTTGGAGGAAAATGCCTTGTTATCAGTGATGGCCTATTTTTGTGTGTAACTGGGTCAAGGCTGAAGTTCAAGACAGTGCTATCTCTGTGGAGATTTTTTTGTCATTGTGACCTTTCACTACTTTCAGACTCTCCACTTTCATCATCTTTGCTTTTTTATATCATTGTGGAACGGTGTTAAAATAGTGAAAGGTTAGGCCTTACTGCTAAATGGACTTTTTAAAGTTTGCAACTTTGCATTTGGGGTCATGGAGCACTTAATTAGGCCTACACTTTTTATAAATATAAATTAAATTTGTTCAGTCCCAGGATAAAAAATGAGATGGTGAATTGCGATTGTTAAAATAATTTGACTTCTGGTCTAAGGCAAATTTTATGTCGCCAAGTGAAAGTTCTCTGCGCGAGAGCAGAAGAGGATGGGGGTTTTTTTGGTAGTAGATCTACCTTTCAAACCTTCGAAAATGTTATTTTTAGTGCACAAAATATTTCTTCCAAATTTTAAGGCTTGGACTCTTGTTGTGTTACATGAGTTGTTTTTTTAACTAGGCCAGGCTACAAAATATTTTGATGGCAGCTGACCGGTGTTATGTCAGCAAAATTGAAAACGGAAGAGCTGTAAATCAAAGTTAAAAAAGGCTTTTTTTTCCCCGCTATAATGCTTTTCTGTTTGTTTTTTGTGCAAAAAAAAGCATCATGTCAGGTGACTGGAATCTTCAAGATGACATCTCTGTGGACGATCCAGAGATGTGTGAGCTCATCAAGAAAGAGAAAGATAGGCAACGGAAGGGTCTGGAAATGATTGCATCAGAAAACTTTGCCAGCAAGTCTGTTCTCCAAGCCTTGGGTAGTTGTCTCAACAACAAGTACTCTGAAGGACAACCTGGACAGAGGTAATGAAACAACATATTCCATAGTCATATTCCATAGTCAGGGACAGTAATTGTAACTTGTTTCAGAACAGATGTTTACTTTTCACTGACATAGAACATGATAAACTATCCACATTATGTTATTTCTTTGTTACTTAAGTACAAGGCTGTTCACCTTTTTCATTTGAACAAAATGCCTTTTGCGTTTGTGGTACCAAGGAAAAGTTCTATGCATTATTGTTGATTTACAGTTCAGTCTTGGTAAGAGATTACAGCTCTTGCAGTACAATTATATATAACAAGTGACAAAGAATAGAAGTGTTTTGGGAGAGTAACATACAAGGAAAAGGAAGAAAGAAAGGGTGTATTGATGGTAAAAAAGGAGCAAACCGCACTAGAGCACTCATCAATCACCTACGTTGATTTGTTGTATGCTAATTATTTTTTTGATGTAGTACTGTTCGTATTGCAGTTTGGGGGCATAGTTATCTCATTCTCCAGGATAAACCTGAACTGACCCCTCGTGCCTGCATGCACATAGTAAAAACTTGAGAGACAAAATCTAGCCACTGATAATACGTCCCTCTACAAGTTTTTGTTTATTTGTATGTTGAATGTTTTTCATTTTGGTGAAAATTAAAAATTGCTTTTTGTCATGGCGTAAGGTTTTTTACCAAGAATAGTCAACGATAATTTAGCTGTCTCTATTCATTATTCATGTTCGAAATATTTTTGTTTCAGATATTACGGTGGAAATGAGATCATTGATCAGGTAGAGCGTCTTTGCCAGAAAAGGGCATTGGAGGCATTTAATCTCAACCCAGAGGAATGGGGCGTCAACGTACAGCCACTCTCTGGGTCTCCCGCAAACTTTGCTGTGTACACTGCTATGGTACAACCCCATGGCCGCATCATGGGTCTATACTTACCAGACGGAGGCCATCTCAGCCACGGTTTTATGACCAACCAGAAAAAAGTGTCAGCTACATCTGTGTATTTTGAGTCTTTCCCCTACAAACTTGACCCTGCTACTGGCTTGATTAACTACAATGAGCTGGAATCCAATGCAAAACTGTTTCTACCTTCAATGATCATCGCAGGTGTGTTTTCTGCATATATATATTCCTTCAGAATTAAATATTAACAGTTTTGAAGCTATGATTAAATGCAGTACTTTTAATAGATCTTTGTGTTGGTGTTCATGAAAATCTGAAATTTTCTTGGAAAATTTTCTTCTTTTGTAAAATTGATGATTATTGTGTCATCATAGAAGGAAACCTTTATTGTAAATAAACAGTAGTCTTGCCTCCTTTGCCCACCTATCATCTTTTACACCGTGCCAAAATACATTGAAGTTGAAGGTTCAAGGAAATAAGGGTGGCGAAATCTGTCAATGGACTCCTCAGGACCTTGACAGTCTTTTTCTTTGTATTTTGAAGGGCTATTTATTGCAAAGAGAGCGTTTGTGAAAATAACAACCGTTTGTTTGGTAGTGTATGTTGTCCGTTATCCTTTTTATTGCTGTATTTGCATGTTGCTACTTGTAAATGGGGTGCCATATTTGATATGGAGGTGCCCCCCCCCCCCCCCCCCCCAACCAATCCCACATTTTAGAATGTTATTCCATGGTTTAGAACGGTATGAAAGAGGATAAAAGGTATTGCACGTACAGTCAAAAGGTCTTTCTGCATTACTTCACATTGCTTGTTTCCCAGGCATCAGCTGTTACTCCAGAGACCTTGACTACAAGCGTTTTAGAGACATCGCTGATAGTGTCGGATCTTACCTTCTGGCTGATATGGCTCACGTCAGTGGTCTGGTAGCTGCAGGTGTTGCCCCAAACCCTTTTGAGTACTGTGATGTTGTGACCTCTACCACTCACAAAACTCTTCGCGGCCCGAGGTCAGGCCTGATCTTTTACAGGAAAGGTATGAACATTGCATTTTAGAAAGTTATTATGTACAATATGTCTGATTTTTTTGAGATGTAGAAAGCCGTATACACGCATAACATTGTTCAGTTTGAAAGCTTAGCATATGGTCAGATGGTAGTATATGAAACGGAGAAGACACGTCTTAATTAACTCTTTATCTCCGGTAAGCCGCGGCTCACGGTCTGAACTGCTGTGCCGATGAGCCACTGACTGCGGCTCGGGCACCTTTTTTTATGACGACTTCGGCATTATATTATTTTTTGGCATTTGCCGAAAACAGATTTCTTTTACCGGAAGTTCATTCATAAGATGAAGTACTATCATAATAGGTTCTCTAGTTTCGATTGAATGGCCTATTTAGTGACCTTTTTGTAATTTTAGATTTAGTACCAAACAAGGACCCTGTCATAGTGGGTTTACCCCCCTCGGAGATAAAGAGTTAAGAAGGATGAAATCCTGCTCCAGTCTGTGTTTCAGATCTGAATATATAATGTAGGCCTACATGATATATGCTGTATATTGCTCATTTAGATTTGTTTTGTGTCTTTTTTTAAAGTGTATTTACCAAAAAATATTGCTTTATGGGATCAATGCTCCCATGAGAAAAATTCATGATAATTCATCGTAAAAACATTTTCAGAATCACTTTTTGATTGTTTTGTTTTATCCTTCCTAAAATAGCATTCAGTGACCTGCCTTGTCATACCATCTTGGCATTTTGTCAACTTTTCATCATCCTTGAAAAAATGCCAAGATCTGTCTGAAGGCATAATGCAATTGCCACATGTCACAGAACACTCTTTGCTGTAAAAACAACAATGCCTTCTGTGCGAACTGTTATTTTTATGATATCATAAATTCTTTAAAGGTTTATGCTAAATTCGGTCACTGTTGTTGTAGTTCTGAACTGAATGTCAGTTTCAGGCATTGAAAATTCATTTTGCTAAAATAAAATTCTAGTGCAATAGTGCCACATGAGAGGAGCTGAAGATGAGATGATGGGGGTTCTTTAAGGAAAGATCTGATA